TGATCTGATACTAGCTTACACAGCTTGACTATTATCATTAAGGATTGGTTTCTTAAACAAAATTACTGAATATTCTTCTAACTTGGACCTAGATCAAAGGAAAGGTTTTCCAGAAATAGTTTTCACCAGCACTGAGGCTAGAAAGGCAACCTATGTAGAAAAATGCACCTACTACCAATTATCATGTCAGTGAACAAGCAATCCAGTCTCCTAAGGGGCAAGAATCCCTTTTAGCTAGCGAACAATCACTTGGAAGAACTGCCACCTCACTTCTGACAAAAATGCTTGAGAAATGCAGAGAGATAAGAGCCCTCTCCTTCCTCTTCTGGAGGAAGCTATTTGCAGCACCTGGACCAGTGAAATACTCTTGGTAAGGCATGTTTATCACTCTGAGCAGAGAAAATGCACTTGGGCCAACCTGCAGTGCTTCCCTAGTTCTCCCAAGCTGGGAAAAGAAACAGTTTGTAGTCAGGCTTCTTCATTCGTGGTGTGCACTGTCAATGGTTACACTGCCAACCAGTCCAGAGTGGTGTTTACTACAACAGGCTACCAAAACACTGCATCCTTTGCAGAAGGAAGGCTTCAGTGGATTTGAGTGCACTCTTCCCCTTCTTCTGCGCACAGGAGACCCTGCTGCACCAGCTCAACTTCTGTTATGCTCACTGGATGGAGACAGTTCAGCCAACTTGAACAGCAGGTGGTTTCTTTGTGAAATCTGAAGACAAAATATTCACCCACTGTCACCTGCCTCGCTGTTCGCTCTGGTTCTGGGGCTGTCCTGATGTGCACACAACAAGAATTGGTCGTAACAGTGTTTTCCTCTTGACGTGCATCATTTTAAATAAAACATAATACTCAGAAGTTTGCACAATGATTCCCTAATTCAGAAGGGAATTAATTGGATAAAAGGGAATTGAAATCCAATTTCCAAATATAATCCTTATTTAAACATCTACTTGGCTTTACCAACTTCTGAACAAAATACCACGAAAATCATATGTGTTCTTTGAAAAGCAGATGTAAAGTCTAAAACTCTATGTCAGAGATAGGTTGCATTAATGTTGCTTTCTGTACTTTTATTCTTCATGTTTCAGATATTGGTGACCTTCACCTTGCAACAGCTGTTTTTGTTTTTACACACAGTGAACTGGTTGTCTTGATTCAACTTATCAAATTTGGGCTGACTTTCCCAGAGATGGAACTAATCCATAAACACGTTTCAAACACTTAATACCTTGCTTTTTTATGTTCTTTTCAAACAAAACATCAGAAAATGTTTTTCAGTTAATATTTTCCTGTACCAGATTTTTTGAAGAGCTTGAAAAGAAAAAAAGTCTTTGTAGCAGATTTCCAGTCCCAAATAAAGAAACTAAAATTTTATTCAGCCCTACCAAAAATAAAGTTTTTGGTTTTGCTTTTTTTTTTTTTAAAAAAAAGACACTTTTAAGCTAAGGTTAACTCCTCTGAAATTTGTAGTTCTGAAATCTAAACTACTATTTTTAAAAGCAGAACTTCACACTCAGTGATCAGCAGCAGCACCCATTTTATCACTCTACCTCTGGCATCTCACAGTCTTAATTTTGCACTCAGATACCCCAGCCTTAACTAAAAGAAAATGCACTGGATTTTTTTGTGTTCTACAGGCTGTGGACTTATTAAAAAACAAAACAAAACAAAACAAAAAAAAAACATGTCTATATTTTTATTTTCCTACTAGTTCATTATCTTGTCCAAAGAAAGGGAAAGAAATAAGAAAAAGACTATCTAGGAGGGTGGGTGTAGCACAGTTGTGGCTGATGTATTCAGTGGCGAGCCCTGGATCGGATCTTTCACTCATTTTACTGAATCTGTTGCTTAACCCTATAATTTTAAAGTATTTATTTTAAAAAATAGACAAGCTCTGTTTTTATTTAATTTACAACGTAAAAGATATTTAAATAATTTTACACCCATTTTCTTTGTATATATTCTCTGCAGCTCCAAGCACAGCTGTGATTCTTACAACTGCAGCTCTATCTTCAGCCTAGGATTTACTCCACGGATTTACAAGGCTGAATTTATATACAGTACTATAGTCCTACTTTTTTTACAAAAGCTTTTAGCACTTCTGAGTTTACCTCTACTGAGAATCAACTCTGAAAGATTCCTTGTATTATCTCCTTGCATTTTGGAAGATAGAAAAGCTGCTGCATATATTTGGAGTTATCCATTCAAGACACCTAGCATTCCATATTTCTTCTGAGGAACACTGTCCCAGAGCAGATTAGGGCAAAGCAGGAAGAAAGGCAGGATAATCCTTGCTGTTCAAACTAATACATCCCACCATCAGCTAGTTACAAACGAGCAGAGAAACCACACAAGGTAATGCTCTATACATTTCTGCATACTGGTTATTTAAGTTCTAATTCTTATTAAATTTGAAGTTGTTCTGTTACCTGGTACAGAGAGAAGGTAGATACTGAGGAGTCCAGATACAAGATAAAGATTGAGACCCAACTGATATTAAAATATTTTCCCCTTTCTTTCCTTTCAACAAATTCATTTAAAGAAGTAGTCACTTAGTCATTGTACATACAGAGACAGGAAATACTGAACTAATCTTGCCTTTGGAATGTAAAGATAAAGATACATACTTTTGTTTTACTTCTTTAAGGCAGATATCGAATGTTAATAATTATCAATTATCCTTTCCTAGTATTCCGCTCTTTTGTTGCAAATATTAGGAACATTTCCCTGTTAAAACATTCCTAGAAATGACAAATAAAATGTCAGAAAACAAAGCTGTTTCCCTATAATAAAATGTTATTTTCCCCAAATTAGAAAGTAAGATGATCCTGCAAATGCTTGCAATGTGAGTTTTCGCTCTTATGACTGAACTGCATTTCTCATGTTCACAAGATTATCTTGAGCTTTTAAAGAGGACCACTGTGCTCGGACTGAAGACGTGCACAGGCTGAATGGCGCAAGTACACTCACCCCAATGCGGAAGCTCACACAAGCACACAATCATCTTGAAGTACAAAAGAAACTATTTTAAATAGCTCACTGGAAGGATCTTTCTATAACTGTTACTCACTCAATGCAGAGATATGCATTGTATTCCTTGTAATTACGATACAAAACCATACATGTTCCCCTTTTCAGCCATTTTATCCTGGAGCTAAACATGCAACTGATGTGCACAAAATAGATATTGAACCACTGATCCAAGAGTCTGTAAAGCTAAAAAATGGACAACACAATCTAATATCTTTCTTCCATGGATACAGACACAAACACAATTGCTGACAGTCACAATATTCTAACTAGGAATGCCAGACGATTACTGCTTTTTTTCCTAAATATCGCATAATGAAAAAGCATAAGGAATGAAAAAAGAATCAAAATTTATTATTAAAAAAAAAACAACCATGACTGCAATCCCATGAACTCTGTACACAACATACATTTCAGCAGTGAAATGTCTCTGCATGTCTGCTCATGTCTCTGTTATAACACATGCAAAAAAAAAAAAAAAAAAAAAAGATGGAAGTTACAGTAACATGTCTATGTTATTTTTTTTGTTATTACTATCTTCAAGGGTGCTTAAATCCAGCTTTTAATTTTACCATCAGTGTTCTAAAATGCAGTTTACTTTTCAACATAACCTGCTAGCTCCTTCTAAAATCGAATTTCTGCTTTTGTCTAGCTGCAACTTCAGATCTAATTCTGCTCTTCTTTCAGGATCATAACATGAAAATGGAAGAGTAGCACTGTTCACCATTGATTTTATGAACTTAATACTTTCTAAAAGCAGCAAACCTAGAACACTTCAACAGTATTTCTCTTGGGTTTTGCAATTATTTCATGTACATATGAAATCTGAAGCAATTACTTACATTTTTGGGCATGTTCAGTGATTCCAACCTTTTAGTTCAATGCCTTTACCAAACTATAACATTTCTCCCCCACAGGAAAACTGTCAGAAATATAGAACATTCAAACTTCCTTATTTGTCTCTATCACTGACTGTTCAAAAGAGGGATGAAAAAAAGTCACAGTTCCTCTAACTAGGCTGCCTCAACGTATTCTGCTCTGCTTCAGCTCATGGCGTCCAAGCATGTAGTAGTGCACAGCTTTAGAGGCTGGTACTCACTTGTACCTGATAGCTGTGCCTGCGGATTAAGCTGCAGATTCAGCCTAAAGAATCAAGAAATCAAAATTTGTTTGGATAAAGAGAGTATGAAAGCAGCTCAACAGAAAAGAACATCACAAAAGTTACAAGCAGTTTATTCCCTTAGAAGGAATAATTTTGTTTTAAAATGGAATTACTCTGCAATATTTCATGTAATCTGGCCAAACTGTGACTCCACCACCTCTGGTGGGGTCAGTGTCAACCAACAAAAGCAGCGTTCAGCTCTGCCCAGGATAGCATCACTTTACACCCTAACCTGATGAGCCCTAGCACTAAGTGCACGTAGTACAAAGCTAAAGAAGAAAGCACTGGCCAACACTGAAATGATCAGCAGCAAGTCAGCCATCACATCCTTAGTACTGACTTTCAACACTTCTATCAATACTCTGTGGTTGTTTTGTCAAAAACAAAATCAAAAGTTGGATAAGCCCTTTTTTAAAGCCGCTTTCCCAGGTGTCAAAACTTCGATGTATTATGCGCCTTTCAGAAGTCAGGTAATCGCTTACTTTAACGTAAATTTTGTTCTGTTAAAAATTTACCACCACAACACATCGAAACATAACTAAATCTATATATTTTTTGGTATTTAAGTTCCATATTCTAGTTCCTCAAATGCCGGGCTAACGATATTATTACAGAACGACGGAACGTTCCAGCTTGCTTCCAGATTGGTGCATTCGCTCGCCGCGTATAGCCAGCCACTCCTTTCCCGCCGCTCTGCCGCTCCCTGCATCCCGCTCTCGTTCCCGGAGGCGGCCGGCAGACCCCGGCCCACCCTGCTCGCTTCCAGCAAGCGCGGCCCCCGCCCGGCGTGGCCCCCACTCACCACTGCCGCGGCTCCTCCGCTCACCGCCTACTGCCGCCCACCGGCGGCTCCTGCCACTCCCCGGAGCAAGCAGGGCGGCGCGGCTCCGCCAAGAGTGGAGCTGTACCCCAAGCTAGGCGTTGCGGGAGCCGCCGCTTCCTCGTTTTCTCTCGCAGCCGCGGCCACTTCCTCAACGAAGTGTCGGCGCTCTGCCCCCCTCCCTCGGAGCAATTCCGGCCCCCGGTCCGCCAGACCGTCCGTCGAAGAGGGCGCGCGGTGTGGGACCAGCGGCGCCCCGAAGTGCGGGTCGCTGCGTCCGGTGGTGTGAGGTGAACGTGGGGCTGCTCAGCAGCGCGAGTGGGAAAGCAAAGGCGGCAAGCGTGGCCGTCTCTTGGGACAAAAGGAATAGACCCACTCATTGTCAACGCTGAAATTCGATCTATTTCGGTGCTTTTGTGTTTTGGTGAGAACATTACTTCGGGAGGGGAAAAACGGTTTGTATTTGAAACAACGTCGGGTCTTCGTGCTGTATTTCAGTCAAAAATATATTTCGGTCAGAAATACGGTATCACCTAGCTTTGCAGCAGCTGCTGGTGGGGAAGAGACTACACCGGCTCCATGCACAGAGCTGAAGAAAACCCCCACTCCAGGGCTCCACGCAGCAGGGAGTCAGCTCCCGCCGCAGGTGTCTGCACAGCCAACAGGCGGCAACAGCTTTCGCCAGGACGCGCTGCTCCCTGACACCGAGCGGCACCTCAGGCGCACCCGCAGCCACAGCGTCTCCTCCCGCCATGGTCGCTGCGTGACGGTGCTGTGTCCCGTGATGGACAGCGCTGGCGGGAGGCGAGTTCTGTTTCCTGCTCCGTTGCAGTAAACGATTGCTGCAGTGAGTGGGCCCGCTTATTGTAAGAAAGAGGTGCTGCAAGGAAGTACTGGCTCTCCTTCCACATCCATTATACTAAACGGAGCAGCCAAAGGGCAAAAGCCTCATGTTTCACCAGTTAAGAGGGTCCCTTCTTTTGGTTTGATTGCTACAGTGCAGATACATTTCTGAATTGGCATTGCCTATGCATTGGAACAAGGCAAAGAATTAAAAAACCTTGAATGTCTTTTGATGGCACAGCTGTTTTCCTAAAACCATCCAAAAGTAGAGCACAAGCTACGGGAAATGGCTTTTGGAAAGTCATTACTGTGCTATGAACAAGATTTCAAGCAGAAGATTAATCTTAAATTGAAAAAATGACTCTAAATTATATGCAAGCAAGAGTAATTGACCTGGTAAGTGTGGAGTTAACTTTCTGCAGCAGCTGATATGATGCCTATCCGGGATTTTGAGTAGTAGAGTATGAGTAACACATTTTCTTTGCTGCTGGGCACTGCTGCTCAGTGGTGAGGCTTCCTGTGTTTTGCACTCTGCCCCAGTCCTCACCATGTAAGCAAGCAATAGGCAAGATGGAAGGGGATGCTGATGGGACAGGCTCCAGCAGAGGGAGCAGAGGGAGAGTTATACCACAGCCAGAATCAACGTTGGGATAGATGTAAAAAGACAGGAGCTAGTGCTGTCGTCCTGCTCACAGACCACCTGTGCATCACTTGCCTCATGGAGGAGGTGAGTCGATGCATCGATAGGATCTTCGCCCTTCATTCACTTGTTCCTATCTCGATACACGTTTTCTTGCTTTGCCCCTTCCAATTCTCTTCACCATCTGCTGTGCAGGGGAAATTCAGCAAGTGGTTGTGTGGGTGCTTGTGTGCTGGTCAGGATTAATTCAAAGCAGAAGTCAGGGAAGTAAATATTTTGTAATGCTATGTGAAATAATTGTTACAGAGTTCTGCTACCTTATTTTTTTGGTAGGGGGTTCACAATATTGTAAGATATTATTTTATGTGTTATCATTATGAACCTTTTCAGTAATGTGTGGCTGTGCTCTTTAGGAGACCTATAACTAATAAATCAATTCTTCTAATTAATGTCTTGGAGGGAATTAACATCTGGCAAAATCAGGCAGATTATGTTCTCTAAAGATACATAAAGATACAAGAGATTTGTGGAATCTCTTCCCCAGTGTGAATTCCTACAGTAGAAACCAATAGTTTGTCCATAGCCTCCTGCTACCTGTTCCATATAATAACTCCAGTAATTTATTTGTAATCCTCCATAGTTTTTGTAAGCATGTGAGTGATGCTTCAAATGCTTACCTTATTACAAACATGATTTGAAAGACATCTGTTTTCAGAAGATAATGCAGTTTTCCTTAAGACCAGGATACATGTAGTATAGGACTTTGCAGCAACACAACTATTTACATATCAGCGAGTGTGAGTAGGAGAGGAAACAGGCGGATCCTGGCTGAAATGCCATGATTCTGGTGAAACAAAGCTGATATCCTGTTGGTAGTCTGTTATAGACCACTTAATCTTTGTTAAGAGACAGATGAAGCATTCTGTGAGCAGCTGGCAGAAAGTCACGCCATTGCTAGAGCTTGTTTTGGGAGACTTCAACTAGTCTGACATTTGTGGGAAAAACAATGACCACAAAATGATTGAGATCTCAAATCTTGGTGAAATGTGGGAGCAAGTGAGCAAAACTTGGACTTCTGGAGGTGTACTTTGGACTGTTTAGGACATTGGTTCATTAGGGCTCTTGGGATATGGTTCTGAGGAGTCCAGAAGGCTGGGCATACCTCAGGAATGAAACCTGAAAGGCACAGGAACAAGCCATCCCTATGAGCTGTAAGATGAACTGGTAGGAAAGAAGACCAAGGTGGCAGAACAGGTAACTTTCACTGAGACCTGGGGAAAAAAAAAAGATAGTTCACTGCGTTTGGAAGAGTGACCTGCAGCTTGGAAACAAGTACGAGGATGTTGCTAGGATATGCAAAGAGAAAATTAGAAATGCAAAAACCCAGCTATAAATTAATCTACATGTTAACATTGTCTAAGGTAACAAAAAGTGTTTTTTTTACACGTATATTAACAGCAAGGGAAAGGTCAAGAGGAATCATCAACCTTTATTAGATGGAGTGGGAAATGTTTCCTTATCCATCAAAAAGGCAGAAGTGATTAATGCACTCTTCATTTTGTCTTTAGTTGTCAAATAGTTATCCTCAGCATACTTAGTCACCTGAGCTAAAAGATATGAATGGGGGACAGTAAAACTCCCTAATAATTCAGGAGGAAACAGCAACCTGCCACTGGCAGATTAAGTTGCCAAGCTGCTGTCCATCATATTTGAAAGGTCATGGCAATCTGGTGAAGTTCTCACTAATGGGAAAAAGGGGAAGCATAACCTCTATCTTCAAGAAGGAAAAAAAAGGCCAGTCAGTCTCACCTCTGTGCCTGCCAAGATCATGGAGCAGATCCTCCTGAAGAGGATCTACTGAGGCACATGGAAAATAAAGATGAGGTGGTCAGTGGTAACCAACATGGCTTCACCAAGGGCCAATCACACCTGACAAATTTGATGGCCTTTTATGATGGAGTTACAGCATCAGTGGATAAAGGAAGAGCAAAAAATGTCATCTACCTGACCCTGTGCAAAGCTTTTAACACTCCCACATGACATCCTGGTTGCTAAATTGGAAAAAAATGGATTTGATGAACATACTTCATGCTGGATAAGGAATTGGTTGAGTGGTTGCACTCAGAGATGCAGACAATGGCTCAGTGTCCAAATGGAGACCGATGATGGGTGGCTTTCCTCAGAGATTGGTGCTGGGCCTGTTGCTGTGTAAGAACTTTGTAGGAGACATGGGATCAGGTACCCTTAGCAAGTTTGCAGATGACACCAAGCTGAATAGTGCAGTTGACATCTTAGAGGGAAGAGGATGCTATTCAGAGGGACCTGAAAAGGCTTGAGGGGTGGACTGATGCCAACCTCATGAAGTTTAACGAAGCACAGTGCAAGGTCCTGCACCCAGGTCGGGGCAATCCCAAGCAAGACCAAGTGCCAGCTCCACCAGTTTCACTACAGCAACCCCATGAAGCATCAATGAATGTCAGTCAGTATGATTTTTTCTGCACGGAGGAATTCAGTGACGTGCTTTTGCTTTGTACACGCTTCCATGTGAGGTGCCATTTTGTCAGACTGTTCCTCTGCTGTCATCTGTCACAGGGCAAGAAAATGTGATAATATAGGTGGGAATGTTCAAACTGTATTGCTGTACCACTATTCCACTAATACCTGCCTCTGACATCAAGTGCTATATAATAAAATATATAGTATATTATATATAATCAAACAGGAGGAATTACTTTTGGAGCAGCCTTCATATGTACCACAGACAGACAATCTCATCTGAGGTTCAAACTGCAATTCTTGTTACTTTCCCATACCTGCAGCTAAAAGTCAAAAATGTCAAAAATAGAAGCAATTAATGACAATAAGATAGGCCTCCCTGTGTGCACAAAGAGAAGAATGCAGAAGTGACTCATTTTGCCTAAGGAATAGGAAGTTTTACACAGTTCTGTCATGATTTAGAAAAAAGAAAAAAAAAAAAAAAAAGTGTGCTATTTTGGAGTTACTTATTATCTATTTCATTTTAATTTTGAAGAAAGCCGTAATTCAGTTTTAGCTCAATAGTAGTTAACAATAGTGTAAAAAATTAAAAGTTGGTTGCCTGAAAGCAAAATTGTTACATAAAAACAAATTTCCTATATTACATTTGAGAAGAACTCTGTACAAAATTTTGCCGCATAGGTTGCATGCACCAGATGCTATTGACATCTTGGGATAACTGCTCATTCTCCAAGTCAAAATGCATCACCTCCAGTGTGCTCTTCCCCTCTTCTGCTGTTTACTGTTTCTGGAGTCCAGAATAAGGTTATTTTTTTAATGTACTGTGTAACAGTCCTACCATGTACCAGTTTTGAGACTCAACTGGTCATTGTACTCAGCATTTATATCATCTCCATACTTCAGGAGCCAATCTATTTTTCACTGTGCAAATCCATCTCAGTTATAACTATTTCGCTAATTTACTGTTTTAACTAGACAATGCCAGTAGCAATAATCTTTGCTATATGAAGTTAAGAGTAATAACCAGAAGATTCAGGGCCATCAAGATATTTTCTTTTTCAGGTAACACTAGATATAATGATACCTGGCATTATTGTAGCTATAATGGTTTTAAAAAAAAAAATGAACATGATAATGCTTCTAAGAGCCACATTTATCTCTTTTCCCAGATCCTTTTATGCTAGAACAAAAAATGGAGCATGCTCACCATGCATGTCTATTATAAAACTAATGAAAATTTTGCTTACTAGTCATGAAGAGTAATCTCAGGATGTATTCATTGTTTGTGAAAGATTATGATATGAGAAAAGATGAGACCTTCATTTTTTTAATTTAGATGGAGTAGTACAGGCTATGATTGTAGGTTGCCTAAGAAATTTACGTGATTACAAAATAAGTTGTTGTGTTAAAGTTAAGATATAGGCTTGTGTCAGTCCTGTTTTTGTGACTTCATATACCATATTCAGTGAGAGAAAACAGACATGGAGAGAGAAAGAGGTGTTTCTAATGTAAGCCTACTAGCGCCCCATAAAACTCCTGAACTTCTGTTTTTGATGTCAGAGGGTACAATTTTTTTCCACATGGAGGAATTCAATGAACAATTCAACACCTTTGCTTCATTAACAAATCCATATCAGATGTCATTGTCAGACTGCCCTTTGGATGCCATCTGCTACATGGCAACAAAATGTAACAGAATATTGGTGAGAAGGTTCAATTTCTGCTGCTGTACTACCATCGTCTGCCTCCGGCACTGTCAACATAATTAAATAAGAGGCATTGCTGTTGGAGCAGCCCTCGTACTTGCAGGTATTATGAAGGTAAGTCAGTGCCAGACAAGCTTATGGGGCTTTTCTACAGTATTTCTCACAGATTCCATGCTCCAGAAATATTTTCGTTAGTTGTGTGCCTTGTGCCATATCTTTGTTGATGAACCCATCCCTTATCTCAGGACCAGGGAGCAGCTGAGAGAGAGACTGCAACAGTCAGTATGGATCCAGCTGCAGTTTCATTCTGGCTGCAACAGATCTAAACTGCTTCCTTAAGAGCCAGTTCATATCTTTGCACTGTGGTTTAGAACCACTTGTTTGCTTAGATATAGTGCTGGCACAGTTTGCTTTTGTGTGCTTCACTTACTTAGAAGAAGATTTAGCAGCCATATTGCTTAAAACTAATAATCTAAGTTGGACCCACACTACTTCCTGAGTAAGCATAAATGGCATTTGCAACAGCAAGAAGTACTCCTTTTTGTAAGAAGCAGAGCGTGGTAAAACTCCACCTGTCATTTAATGAAGCTGGTTTGTAATTGTCACAGATTCTGGCTGAGGCACAGAAAGCAGATGTGCTATTTCTTGGATTACAGCTAGCACTGGGAATTAGATAACTGCATTCCTGCATCCCTGTACCTAAACTAACAAATCCTGTCAGATCTGAGCTGATACTGCATCCAAGCATCCCCTGTATATTTTTCCAACCAGCCTACATGGTCTCCTGACTCAGGATTCACTGTTTTGAATTTGGCAGCCTTTTTTATGATGCAAAATATTATCCATCTGCTCTTATAAACTGCTTTCCTTTTTTTTACAGTAAGAACAAATACTTCCTTAGTATCAAGAGTCCTCATAAATAGTTTAATTTTGATTTGTTTCCTCCTGCTGAGTAGCTGAGGCCTGCAGGCTGAAGCAATACTCCTGAGAAGGTGTAGTATCTTAAAAGGTAGAGAAATAACACTTTTCCATTTTTCATCCCATTTCTGAGACCTGATTTGGCACTGACTCTGCTTTTCCATAGGCTATCTCTGAAGTTCTCCATGAGAAGTACATAAGAACTACACTGAAAATTAAAGAGAAAAAAAAAAAAAAAAAGAAAAAAAGATTATTCAGAATGCTTTGGACACCACTGGTA